ATACATACATACATACATACATACATACATACATACATACATACATAGATGTTGAATGTGTTTTCTGCAAACAAATAGACACAAGTCGCAGTTTCAAAGGTCCTTTCACACGGCCAATCAAGGTGCATACCATGTGAGAAAACAAAAACCGTCGGCTGCATACGAAGTCCTGACTCCCTGAGGCTCCACCTGCTCCAGCGTTGCCAGGCGAAGCGTTCGGGCGAAGTCTCTGATTTCAGCGTTCTACGGAAGCAGGAAGCTTTACATTCTGAGGCCCCCGGTGAATGCCCAAAAACCGATGGCAAAAAGGACCGTGTGGAAGTCCAAAGGCTCAGCCTTCCAGTCATCAAAACTGTTTGGTTTATAATATATATATATATGTATATGTTATATGATAGTTATATGTTGGATGCGTCTCAGCGACGACAAGAGTAGATGATGGCCATGATGGCCAGTCAAGGCATTGAGATAAACTTCTAAACCCGTCGGTGGTAAATCTCTATACCAACATATGCCAACCAGTCAGTCAGTGTGCGTTTTTCGACCGCAACCCGTTCATCCAGAGGACAAGTTGAGTCCGCCCTGTGCGTCCAAGAGTCCTCCCTGCCATTCCACGACGTTTTCGGCCAAATGTGCCAAAAGAGCCTGGAAGCGAAGCTCTCTGGCGTCCAAGGCCGGGCCGCCGGTGCATGACTCACTCACGTCCTTTCACTCGTCAGTCGTCCGAGTTTGAGGAACACCGCAACGACGAAAGGCGCCTCCAACCCAACTGGGTTCCCTTTTTGGGGTACCAGCATGCCAAATACCAGATGAGGCACCCACCGTTCACCGGTGCACGTGTTCATAATGGCTCCCTTTCAATATGTGGAATGGACTCACAGCTGCTCCGCCACCCAGCGCCCTAGCGCTCCGCGCCGGCAAGGGCATCAAACCTTGCACGCACAATTGCACTGTCCTCAGAGCGGCTGGAACCAGTAGCAACATCAACTGGGTGCTTTTGCATAGGGTAGATCCTTGATGACCCTTGTAACATCTTGTAACTATAAGCATTGATGATGATGGTCAAAGAAACCCTGACCGACCAAAACAATAGAACTTTAAGCTGTTGCAATGAGGCCAGGATAAAACCACTGAATTGACACCTTTTACATGGCCGACTTGGTAACTCCAACTTGCTCTTGGATGACATTCGTCTCGCATAAAATCCCCCCAAGGTGGCCCAAACAAAGAGACCAAAGGTTCATGTCACTGCACAGTGGCCGTTTCTAAGGTCAGTCTCGGGCCAGTCTCGGATCAAAAAACGCACCCCAAACCCGAGATCTAGGAGATATCTATTAACCATCCCATTGCGGGTCTTGGTTTGTAATAACAGGTTTTGTTGATTGGTTTGAGATACATTTCTCAATGCTGAGCTCCAAAACAGTGCATGACTGGAAGATTCATGAAGATTCCAGTATGTGAGTGTAAGGTGTTTTGAATCAACACACTTAAAGCCTCGCAAACCATTCATGCATAAAGCTGATGTTATCATCACATCAAAGTTCGAGATTGGCTCAAGGATGGTTTCAAGACCCTCTCCACACTTTAGGCAATTGATGCGCATCACAGCATCCCACAGTTTGGAAAGGCAACCTTCAAGGTTGAAGGCTTTAAGTTCATTGTGAAATAAAGCTCCTGGATGTTCATAGTGGCAACACCTTCTCTGGCTCCAACTTTGCCTACAACTTGTTCAAGAACAATGAAGCATCCAAAAACACTGTGCACATATCATCCACGTTCAAATCGTTTGACATCTTTTTGCTGCTCTCCGTGAGAATGTCCCAATGAGGGCGGCTTTGCATGTTCCTTGACACTCTTGAGGCACTCTTGACAGCCACCTTCCAAATGTCATGCTACAAACATCACACTCCACATATGGATACATAATATGACGTCCCATTAACCCCCCCTTTTCAAACCATCCCAACTGAGAGGCACATGCTCCAGTCCCATGGGTCGCCATCCCATGTGGTTCTGAGAATTGACCAGCTGGTTCAGTGGTTTCGACCATGTTCGGAAGACCAACCCAGTGGTTCGAACCAGTACAAACCAACCGTCTCGAAAGCTGCCAGGTCTCTTGGGAGGCTGTATGAAGGTCCAAATGAAGTCGTCCAGGTCGCTACTGTCGATCATCTCAGCAGCACACTGCGCTGGGCACATCGCGTCCGGCCCCGATCGCTCCGTTCGTAGCGATGCCCTAGTGGCTCCGTTCGTAGTAGGGCCAGGAGCCCCTATATAGTAGCGAATCGTGTTCCGTTCGTAGCGATGCCAGGAGCCCCTAGGCACATCTGGTAGAGAATTCCATGTGAGGAGTTGTTGAGGTTCCATCCCCAACCACCTATTTGGACCTTTTGGAGAGTCTGGTGGATCTAGAATCACACATTTTGAAACCATGGTTTTTCCTAACAAACACACAAAGCATGATAAAACATGCTGTCGTTGTCTTTCACCTCCGATAATCCTGACTTTCAGGTAGGTTTGGGGTCGGATCCGCACCAGCTAACATGTGCCAAGCCATCGAACCATCGACTCCGGTCATTGCGCTCTTCGGCCATGATCCATTCAACAGGCCATAGGGCACTGGATAGTGGCTTTGCGTAGTCTCAACCTCACTAGCTCCATACATCCTTATCTTAAGAAAGTCCCGCCCTTTTTCTTCGTAGATGCTTCTAGCTCCAACGTTCCAAAAAATCACAATCCTGACGCTTTTACTGGCTCACTCACACTCACCCAGGTGTTCTTCTCCACCTACCCCACTGACCGAGATGCCAGTGCTTCCACACGAGGATCTGCATAGAACCGCACTGGAGAGTTGTTCGTGGCCTGACCTGGAGAGGACACGTCCCTTGGTGACGCTCCATCCCTTGGTGACGTTCCAAATCTGTTGGTTGGGCCTCATTTGGTGTCACAGGAGTCTGAGTAACATGACCTTTTCACTTCATGACGATCCTTTTTTCACATGGTTATGGCACGAACTTCGCAGCGTTTTTGGGTGTTCTGGCAGCGTTGGATATAGCTCAGGCTGTCAGGACTGTTAGGGTCTTGGTGTTTGCCCCAATCGTCTACGAACGATGCTGGGAGGCCATCTATGGTGGCTTAGCCCTGATGTCTCCCACGTTGATCCTGAATTCTGGCAATGCCTATTCCATTTGCCAGCTGGAGTGGACATACTCCACTCTGTGAGGCAGCTGATGTTTTTTTGAACACTTCGAACTCCCCCAGCGTGGCTCTGCAAGGTGCGGTAGGCAAGGCTGGCAGTGAAAAGCAAGGCAATGAAGTAGGCGGCCACCATCCTTGCAGCAATTGGGTGGCCGAGGACTAGCTAAAGTCTCCTTGAGAAGAACATCAAAAACTGCACAAAGAGGGATGGGAACCATAAAAGCACAACAAGGCTGACAACGAACGGGTTGTCCATGGTTGTCCAGCGCAAGTTTGTCAGGCTTGCGGCTGGCCAAACATGTCAAGTTTACAACCCTGTCGATATTTGTCCCATCAAAAATCCACATGGTCTCAACGTGCCCTTCCTGCATACCTTTACACAAACGGCTCAGCCTGGTCCCAGTCCAGGAGTCCCAGTGACTTCAGAGTAGGCGCAACATCCATATATCTATATAAAACTTATGTTTTGACTGAATTCATAACATAATGCACATAATGCATCAATCTGCATCAATGCATGCACATGGTCTTCCCTATCTGTCGGAGGGTGATCTCTCGATTCACATGCTGTTTGTTGAGTGTCAAACGGCAAGCCGGGGCCAAAAATTGAGCTGGAAAGCACAAGAAAGAACACGAGTCTCCAAATCGGGAGGCCAAAAGCTAAAGGCCCAACTGTGGTTCCTTCAGTTTTCTTTGGAAATGAAGGTTAAATAACTATAGACTATACGCTTAACCTTTCTCTACCTGTTCGTGTTGAGTAGGGAACAACATGGAAAAAGAATCTCCGAAAGCGGTTACAGTAAAGGTTATGCACTGACTACTGACTGCTTAGGTATTCTACCTGGGCACGCTCTACAGTTATTGCGGTATCATCTGGAGGTGGATGAAGCACTTGAAATCATTGAGATTGGTGAACTATCATGAACTGCCCCTTTCTGCCACTACCACTTCAACGTTACAAATAACACAATGAACAAATTCAAACCAAAAGTACAGTTATTACATGATATATCGTGTTATACGTAATAAGAAGTGTAGTGTGTATATATATATATATCAATTGATCCATGGTGTTCCCTAACCCGGGCCAAGGGGCAGCCCCAGCACCAGCTTGTCCTGATACCGCATACCTGAGCGACTCAGGCTCCGACTCAGCGGGTCACTCATAGTAGCTCAATTGGACCTGATAGCTCTGCCGTTTCGCATGAGAATTAGACCTGATAGCTCACGACGGCGCGCGGAAGACGGTCCCCTCTGTCCCCGCTGTTCCTCCACGACCGGAAAGTGAGAAGTGAATGTCCGCTCTTTCTGAATGCAGGACGTTTGATGAACAGTGCGACACTGTGAACCACGCTGCGGCAGCGCAACACATGTGAACCACGTATATAAACCGTTTGCTATTTCGTGCGGTGTGATGATCATGAACATTCTGAACCAAACATCAGCAATGGCACACAAAGGTTAGTCTGAGGTTCTTGACTTATCCCCCTGTGGGTTCCTACTAAAAATATGTTAAGGGATATGTTTGTTGGAGATCCATCCAAATCCAACTCCCTTAACTTAACAAACATATCCAACCAATATATCCCCTTAGCTAACATATCCAAACATATCCAACCAAAACATATCAATCCCCGTTCCAAATCCAACCAACCTTGGCCCCGGCGGCGGCGGATGATGTCCCGGTCCATCTCGGGCTTGCCGGTGCCGGCGCCCGCACCGGTGCCGCCGCCGACGGCCAACAGAATCTCCTGGGGGCAGCTGCGACCGGTTCGACCGGTTCGACCGGCTGCTCGGTTCGACCGGCTGCTCGGTCGAGCGGCTGCGAGGCTGAACAGCTCTATCTGCAAGGCTACTCTCCACCCAGTGGATCACTTAGGATTCGTGGAGGCTTCTGCTTTGGAACACCACCTTGTCACCGAGCTAGTGACCTAGTCAAGGTTGTTCAAGGAAGAGTGGTGCAGTGATCATGGAATCGTTCCTTTCCCCTTCGCAGCTCGCTTATGGATGGATGCTCCCCAAAACATCCAACAAACAAACTGGATGGATCCAGGATCCAGCATCCTCCAAGTGTGCCTTCCCCATCCAGGTGTACCACTGGGGGTGTGCTGTTAGTAAATGACGGTGTGTTTCGACCCCGGTGAACTCGGAGGATCAGCGTCCTTGGCACTCGGCTTCTCAGAGTCCACCTGGGAGAAGCCGGGAGAAAAACCGATCCAAACACCACTGTCAGTGGGACTGCATCGATCTATATGAACATATACTGGTAGCCATATATATATATATATAGCGACTTCCCAACTGACCCAACTGATTGGCAAATAATTACGGCAGTGTCATGGAGTGTCTGGGTATAGTGAAAAGCAAACAAAAACAGTCAAGGTTCCTCTGTCCTTCTTAGTCTTGTGCAGTCTTGTTTGCTCTCTTGTGCATTCTTTGAAATGCCATCATGAATGGGAAGGGAAGGGATCATGACAAAGCTGCCCAAAATAGAGGTGTTGCAGCCATGAGCCGTGAACAATTTAACACTCCTCCCCTCCTGTTGGTATAGCTCCAACAATTTGAGGATCCATGTATATAGATCCTGATTACTGTAACATCCAAGTCGCCACAAATGGATCCTCAACAGTGAACAGTATCAGCATGTCACAACGGTGCCATCCAATGGGCGTACGTTTCCCCGACAGTGACAGGGAAAAGCGGATCCATATGCCATCATTCCTTCGTGGGTTCCTTGAACCGTCGCCGCGGACAGTGGGAAGCCTGAACACCTTTTCGGGTTGTGCAAAGAATTCAACAAACAGAACTTGGATTGGGAAATGGAAGTGGGAAATGGTCCCTTGGAAGACTAATTACCTTTCCTCTAGAGCCTCTAGATTTCTTTGGAACGTGAGTCGGAGATAGTCGGAGTGTATACAGCAATTGTATGCAATTGTTCACCTTCTAAGGACCTGCTACTTGGGGAAAGCCAACACACGGCCGCACCACGCATTGCCTGCTCGACGTGGATGCGGGCTTGCGCCCGCGCGCCAACAGCGCCTGAGTTGGCCCCCACCGGAAAACCCTGGCAGTGTGGAATCGGCTGGCAAAACATGTTGTTGAGAATGAGATTGGGAACCCGCTAGCCCAGGCAGCAGCCTGTCTATGACACGATCATCGATTTGACACATGCCACGTGGAACCGCCCTTCAAACTCTCATGGCCATTCAATAAGGCCACCTGAACATCATGAACTCGAACTCCGGTGCAAAACTACCCCCTCTCACTGAGCTCACTGAGCCTCCCAGCTGGCTTGGTGGCTTTGCGTCTTCTCCACTTGGGGATGCCCCCAGGAGAGCGGATCTTCCCACAGCGGGTCCGGCGAATCCTCCGTTCGAGACCCGACGGCCGGAGTCGTGTGCGACTGCGAACCACTTCAAACAAGAGGAGGGCTGGCCATTCCCAGGCCAATGCTTACTACTAGGACAAAGGACGAAACGAACGGGGCTCCTGGCCTTACTACTATAGGAGTGTTCGGACGCTACTAGGTTACTAGGGGCTCACGCCTTTATGCAATGTCCAGTTTCTACCCTGACCCGGGAATACAGAGACGGCCTAACTCACAGCCAGGCTTGTACATGTTGTACTCTATTGGGCGCAGACTTGATGGATTCTGGTCCAGAAGACCTTGACCCGCAGAGCGCATCCTACACCTGTCCAATGATCCGCGCCTGTGTCAGGTTCTTTTGCCTGTCATCTGACCGCAGGGCCTGGGCACGGGTTCCGGACAAAGAAACCATTGAAATGCAGGTTTCGATGGCGGGACGTACTGTAAGTGATTTCTCGTGATCAGCACTGTGATGAATGTATAAGAATGCGCCTTGGCGTGAAAAATCAAGTTCTGCGGCTGTCCTGACACACATATATAACCGGTTTACGAAGGGAACAATATCGAAACTAGCTCGGCAAAAACAACAACAAGGGTCAGGGTCCCTCAAATTGTCCAAAAAACATCTTCAAGCCAAATGGGTGCTAAGCACAACCGGAAACCACAAACACCAAAATACCACCTGCGCTGTAGAGGTGTATCAATGCCTTCATGCCCAGCCATTCTGCACGGAAGGCCCCATGTCCACCTCCAGCCCCGTTCCAAGCCACAAGGACTCCGCCCTCGGGAGAGCAAAGCAGCACCTCGATCTGGATCAAACACGACCCATGGGACTGGCATACATACCTACATTCAATTGTAGGCATATATGGCATACATGGAGTGTCTGGGATGGATCAGTCAAGTCATCAACAACTTCAGATTTATGTAGTCAAGCCACTCACCATTCCTCAATGAAAAGAATTGGACAGGAAGAAACAACATCTACACCACCCGTAAAGGTCAATTGGCACAGGTGCCCTGTATGTTATGCCAAGCCAAAAAGTTGAAGTGGTGCTAATTAGTTCATCATCAGTGTGTAGTCCAATCAAATCTATTCGAGAGCTCAATCCTTGTCATAATGACTCTTCGCAGGACCCAAGTGCATCCAAATGCGAACTGTCGCACGGCTGAAGCTTAATTTCCTTTTCCTCACGAGCAGGCTTAGTCACCATTTCAGCAACCTGTTTATCTATATCTACATAGCATAACCTATATACATCGAATATCTATCTATCTATCTATCTATCTATGTATCTATGTATCTATCTATCTGCCTATCTATATGTATCTCTATCTATCAGGATCTCTCAGATAACCGAGAAACTCCCTTCTAGCTCCGCTCCCGCAGCAGCTCAACCGGCCTCGTCAGGCCCGGCCCGGCCCGGATGCCCGGACGCCCCTGACGGTCCAATACTCTCCCTGCGCTCCAAGATGCCAACACGATGAGGCGAGACATGGAGGAGGAAATCGGGAAACCACGATGCGTCTGGCCATGGCGTGAGGCGTTTAGTACGCCTTGAGCCCAGTTTTTGAGAGAAAGCAGCGGAGAGAAGAACGCGTGACATCCTCTGCCTGTTGATGTGCCCAAAGCTGGAGAGAGTTGCGCTGGTTCCAATTTCATAAAATGAAATCTAACACAAGTTTGGAAAGTTCAGCAAGCAATCAAACTGAAATATTCCATCTAGGAGCCCTGAATGTCCTCCTCTGTCTGGAATTCCGAAAGCATGGACCAAAGGTTTGTCAGTGTTTCAGGTTGTTTCCATGGTTCTATCAGGAGTGCCGTGCTTTTTTTCGGGGGGGGGTTGTGTTGTTTTCTTTAATGGAGACTGGAGACATGGAGACAGAACCTCTTCAATACATAGGGGGTCATGCTGCCATCGATGTCCCAGGGCTGCTCCATTCGATCAGCCGGAGAACCGCCGTCACCCTCGGTGAACCACAAAAGGCCCTCGATATTTCACCCTTGTTGAGCGTTGACGTCGGAGATCTGACCAAGACGGAGAACAGCCGGCCGAATGCATTGGTTTATTTGGTTATATGTTGATTGATTGCAAACTACGATGTGTTATAGTCGAAATTGGTATGACCAACATATTGGGAAAGCAACACATAAAAAAAAGGACCCTTGGACAAGAACCATAAATGTGTCCATAACATGTCCATATACTTTTTTATCGTGTGAATTATACTTTAAACATGCATAAATTATGAAACCTGATAAGGCCAATTTTTGTAGTTTTTACGATATTTTTCCGTTTGTTCACAACATAATTTATGAACATTTACGAAACGCAAAAACATTTACGCAATCATGAATTTCCACGTAGTGGCTTTCGTGGAAATTTCATACAAAAAAAAAATCTAGAATTGAAGTGTTGTTTAATGTTTTTAATTTACAGTAGAAAATTGAAAGAAGACACACGCATTCAGGTGTTGAGGGACGAAGCGGTGTCTAGACATCCGCCGGCCCAATTCAAGGAGATGTTGGGTTTCCCCTCCTTGCTGAAGATGGGTTGCCAGGTTAGTCCCGAAACACACCCTGAACGACTGGTCTGTCGCGACGAAAGGGTGCCACATCCCATCGACTTGCTGCGAAATCCTTGAGGTAGATGTGGTACTGCCCTGGCGTGTACTCTGCTCGCATGTTCCCCGTTGGCCATCGATCAGCGAAGTCTTTGCCTCGGCCGCTGAAAAACGACGGACTCCCGAGTCAGTACGTCTGAAACGAGGGTACGAAACCCTCCTGGTGCCCACCCAAAAAATCCAAAGCAAAGGCACGACTCGACCCCCAAGGCGCAGGGAAGGTGAGCCTTTTCTTCACCTGTTTTTTTGGAGTTTTCACCCAAGGTTGGGCAAATGATTTCGGTAGGGTCAGGGTTGAAATCAGCCTGGCCGGGAATGGGAGACACTGAGGCATTCGACCTGGTGAGGCCGAATGAGGTCCGACACCTTTAGGGATGGCTCCACCCCAGCGTGATCGAGGATAGAACATGATAGAGGGTGAGCTATCAAACAAATAACCATGTCAAACAAACACGTATCAATAAACATACAATTAACGAACATCAAATTACCAAAATTAGATGGTCTTTTGGTCCCTTGATCCCCTGGTCCTAGTAGGAGCAGGAGTAGGAGTAGGAGCAGTAGTAGCAGCAGTAGTCGTAGTAGTCGTAGTCGTAGTCGTAGTCGTAGTCGTAGTAGTAGTAGTAGTAGTAGTAGTAGTAGTCGTAGTAGTAGTAGTAGTAGTAGTAGGAGCAGCAGCAGCAGCAGCATATAGTAGTAGGCGACATTGGAATGGCATTTTCCTCCGTATGCTAGCTTGGAATGACCTTTTCCTTCTCTGAATGTTTGCTTTGGTTGGCTCACAGGAGGTATGTTTCACGGTCCTCCCATAAATTTTGCCCTCAGATGGCTCGCAAAAGGTATGCCACCTTGGAATGGCACCTTCTTCCTTTATAAATTCTACCTTCAGGACGCTCGCAAAAGGAATGCTAGTCCAAATCTTCACCCGAGGGTGGGTCACAAAAGGTATGTCATCTTGCAATAGCATTTCCCCTTTCTAAATTCAATGCTCACAAAAGGTATGCTACCATATGCTACTTTCAATTGGCACCTTCCACCTCTAAAATGCCAGCCTCAGGGGGCCCAAACAAGGTATGCAACATTGGAACGGCACCTTCCTCCTCTAAATTGTATGTTCGAGCGGCTCACAAAAGGTATGCTACATTGCACCCATTCCTCTTCTAAGTTTAAATTCGGGTGGCTCACGAATAGAAAGCCGGCCTTTTCCTCCTGCAAGTTTTCCGCTTGGGTGGCTCCACATGGTATGTGGCACCTTTCTTCTCTAAATTATAGCCTCGGATGGCTGACAAGGTATGCTAGATTTTTCCTTGGGGGTGGCTGACAAACTAACTTGGAATGGCACCCTCAGGGGGCTCATAAAAGGTATGCCTCTAAATTTTGCCTTTGGCTTGCTCACAAAAAGAATGCTGCATTGCATTCTCCCCTTTCTCGTCTAAACTTTCTTTTCTCACAAAAGGTATGCTACTTTGGAAGAACCAAAGCACCAAAGAACCAGCTGATTAGGTAATCATGTGACTCATGTGTGTATTTTCTTTATTGGTTAATCTTTGTTGTTTGATTGGTTATGTATTTTTTGGATCCCTATACTATACTCATGATAGACCTGAGACTGGGGATGGGTGAAAACCCTGAAGCCCGACCAGTCTACCATGGCTTCCGAAGGGCCGGCACCAGGTCTATAGGTCAGCGCAAGGTGAAACCTGGTGCCATGACCCACACCCGAATTCATGTGGATTCTAGAGGGTGTTTGTAGGAGGGACTCGAGTTGGTGATTCATACTATGTTCCTTCATGTGAGTAGAATTCGTGTGGATTCAAAACCTTATAGACCATGTTGAATTGAATACCATTGAATACCAGGTATTGAACACCTTTCTTCTAGCTCCTACCTAATCCTACCTCAATAGTCGCCTTCTGAGAAGGTGATTGTAGACGATGGAGGTCGGAGGGACTCCGACACCGTGGCTGACACCGTGGATCCGATGGACAGGGACTCCGACCGGCTCAGATCCCACCCGAGAAGCTGAAGCTGCAAAACGAAAGCCAGCTACCATCGGCCTCTGTAAAACTACACCTTGCCATTCAAATGATGCAAATTGCATTTCTTGCATCACCACCCCCTCAAAAATCACAAAGAATCACCTCCAAAACAACCTCAAAAACCTTACTTCGGTGGACCCCTAAAATTGAGACATATGTATCCCTGGAGGATAGGGATTCTTGGATTTAGTTTTTTTTTAATGAAAAAATATGAAAAACTATGAAATTGACAATGTAGAAAAAATATGGTTGTTTATATGTTTATGAAAAAATATGAAAATAATATGAACAAAATATGAAAGTAATATGAAAATAGAGAAAAATATGAAAATACTATAAAAACATATGTTTTTCATATTTTTCTTGTATTCTCCGAAAGTTGGTTTTCTCATTTCATATTTCAGGAATTCATCAGATTCATTTTTTTTCAGAAAATAGACTGTTTTTCGATCCATGGCAAGCTCCAGGGTAACTGTGTCTCAACCCTAAACACCATCTAATTTGGAGTTTGCGTAGCCCTTTCTCGGGCCACCCCCCCACACCCCTACTTACTCACTTTGTTCGCCAAACACAACTCAGCTGGCGCCTTCTACGAAGGCTGGCTTTCGTAACCGATCACGCTCCAAGGGACCTTTCAAAAACCAAACATTACATAACATGACCCTATACAGAAAGGGTATTTGTACATACATGCGTGTGTATAGATGTCATGTGTATTGGATTAGATATAGACATATTGTATACCGTATATGTAATTACAGTATCCATATTCCGAGGTAGCTTGAGACTCCAGGATAGAAATCCCTTTTGGCCCAGATCCGCTTCAAGAATCTTCAAAACCACTTGGACTGCGCGACCTGGGCGTTGTGCCATCTCCGGGTGTGTTTCCTTGGACTTGTTTGATTACTGCGATCGTGTTCCCGTTCACCTTGACTTGGCCCTCGCACACTCAAACTCGCTAATGGCATCTTCATCAAAGCCTTCAGTGCAGTCGTCCACCACGAAGGGGATTCCTTGGCGCCAACGCATCAGCTTCATCTGCAGCCACTCGCCCCAGTGGTTTGTTCCATCACACAAGCAACCCAAAAAGGAAGCCCAACAAAGCGCTTGGGTCCCAAAAACAAACATGCTCCAATACATGATGCAAAAACACGAGCACCATGTTATTTCACTTGATATACACTTGATCCAAATTCGGTGACACACGAGCACTTATCGTTGATTTCACTTCGATCCAACAGGGATCGTCCATCCCTTGGATTGCTCATGTGGAATGGCAGGTTCACCAAGCCTCAGGGTCCAACTGCCTCATTATAGAGGGGAACATAAGTCTAGGACCGACTGCCTTCCCAGAACTTCCAAACAGTTCCAGCAAGGAGAGGCTGAGCTGCGCTCAAGAATGGTCACTAGCCTTCCAAGGCTCAAGACATGGTTCACCTGGTTTTGTGGACTAACATCCTATAAGTAAACCTACGGCGGTTCGGATTTTTTGTATCTTGACATCCTTGATTTGTTCGGATCTGTTGCAGAAATCCTGTCAAAAAGAAACATTGGCCAAAGGCACCATCGCGCACCAGCTGTTGGAAGCGCGAATCCTCAGGACCGTTCAGAGTATCGACACCCGGGAGGGCCGCTGGCGGGCTGGTGGCGGTGAGTCATAGCTCTGGGGGCCAGGCCCCCCGTGCAAAGCCCACTACAAGCGCAAGTTGAAGTTGTTGGACTGACTGCGTGGGTGAAAATGCAAAGTTGAGGCACCAATTCCTGCAGTTTCTGAGGCCAAGTTGTTCAAGAAGCACCAGATTCCCTAGAAGTCCAGTTCGACTCAATTGGGCACCACCCAAGTTTGCAGGAAAGGACTCTTCGGCTCATTGGCTAGAAAGATCGTGTTTAACATTTG